GGCGGCTGCTTGCGACACCCCCCTCGTCCCCCCGAGGGCGGCGCGATGGGAGACGAGATGGACGCAATGATCCCGGAGCGGGAGATGAAGGTCAGAGACCGGTCGGGGCCTCCCTCCCTTCCTTCCTCCCCCCTCCCGCGTTGCCTTGGAGCCCGGCGGAGCGGCGGAGCGCGGGTGTCGGCTGCCCCGCCTCCTGCTTGAACTTTCGCGGGGTTCAGAGTTGTCACCGGCCGGGCCCGGGGCTGTGTCCCCGCCGCCGGCGTGGTCCCCCGGCGCCGTGCAGCTTCCTCTTGCCTGGTGGGCCCCGCGCGAGCCACCTGCGTTACTCCAGGTGCTTCCCCGGGGGGGCCGAGGCCGCGGAATGAGCTGTTCGTTGCGCGTTTACTGTGTTCATCGTATAGCAACCCTACGAAATAGGCGTTGGTATAGAGGAGCAGTCAAAGTTCGGGAAGTAACTTACCCGGAGTCACACCCTTGACAGGGAGGCTGACATGCAGGTGGTGGTTTGTTTGTTTGTTTTGTGTTTTTTAATACCCTCTCCTCTTCGTTCTCAGGGCACTGCTTCTGGAAGGTGGACCAGGCTAGCCTAAGGCAGAGCCGGGCTCCTCACCTGCCCTGCAGAAACTTTAGTTAATTGGAATAGGAGGACTGTTTCGGTACTGGAAATCTGCCTAAGTCAGGAGACGTCAGAGAGGGGCGGGGGGCCTCAGTGGTGGCCATAAACACCCTTGGGGGGCAGTTAAGTTGAAGGAAGATTTGAGGCGTTTGAACAGCAAGTCACTGAAATGCATTCAGGGAGTAAGTAAATGCTTTTCTCAGAGAGTCGTGATTCTCTCTTCCTCGGAATCACTGCCTGGGTGGGCCACCTAATGGGTGTGCCATGTCCCTGGGATGTGCTGGGGCCAGGGGGAAAGGTTTCAGAGCCACAGGCTTAGGAGATGATAATCTCCCGCCAAGTTACTGTGACAGAAAGGAGAGCGCTGTCTGCCTCTCCATCCCACTGGCTCTCCATGTCTTTGTGACCAAGGCCCAAATAGGATACGTGGCATTATCAGGACGAGAATTACCAAAAAAAGACTGAAAATTTTATTCTACCCCTGTAGGGAACTGTACTGTGGTCTCACTTGGAAAGTTGTGTGGGTTTCTGATCACCATACCCAGTTGGAAATTAAGAGTATTTCATTATACTTTTATAAAATATGCATTAAACATCAAACCCGAGGACAGGAGTATGCGGGGGTGAGTTGGGATCCTTCATGAAACACTTAAGTGTACAAAAGTGAAGGCTGAGAAAGGCTGTCTTTGGCTCTTACACTTTCGGAACGTAAGCAAAAGGGGATTCACATTCTTTTCACCAAAACCTCAACTTAAAGATAAGTTAGCATGGAAGAAAAGAAAACCTTTTACAGTACAACTTAACATAGTGATTGGTAAATTTACAGAACTCTTTTTACCAAGAACTGGTGCACACTGAAAATTGTCTTTGAAAGCATGTAGATAAATTCCTGGAAGACTAGGTGAGTCGGGCATTGACAGGAGGTTGGGGAAGGCTCCCAGGCCCTGAGGTACTAAGGAGCATGAAATGGAAGGAAATGAACACTGGGCATCAGTGGGGGCTGGAGGTGGCGCTGGGTGTGGCAGAGGTAATGGCACACTTGTGGCAGGAAAGCAGTGCTGTGAGGTGAGGCTCCAGAAATGGATGGGTCAAGCCATGGATGGCCTCATAGCCTGTGTTAAGGGTTTTGGACTTGTGATTGTAGATCTTGAACACCAAGAGATTGACCATGCATACCTTTTTTTGTGTGATGGAATCTTGTTTAGCATTTGATGCAGGTCAATCAGTTCTCGAGACTTGGTTATCTTTCTCTAGTCATTACTTCCATATATTTGTTGAGTGTTGCACTGGATATTCGAGCTTACAGTATAGTTGGTAATGCTTTCGGTATTTAACAGTTTATTAAGCCTACTCTGGGTCATGAGACAATGCATAATACAAATAGGACAAGATTATAAATAATAATAAATAATAACTCCAGCTTGTGTGGTGGTTAAGATGATAGATACAGTAGGAATTCAGAAAAGGAAAACTTCAGTGTGAGCTGGATTAATCAAGGAAGGCTTCATGAAATAATTTTTAAAAATTTATTTAATTAGCCCTGGCTGGGTGGTTCAGTTGGTTGGATCATTGTCCCATACACCAAAAGGTTGCGGGTTTGATTCCTGGTCAGGGCACATACCTAGGTTGTGGGTTCAATCCCTGGTCAAGGCATGTGCAGGAGGCAACTGATTGATGTTTCTCTCCTCCTTTCCCTTCCTCTCTCTCTAAAATCAACAAAAAAAACATATCCTCTGGTGGGGATTTAAAAAAATAAAAATTTTTTCTCATTGAGTAAATATTAATAAACACTATGCCAAGTACTACAATACGTACTGGAAGTTTAAAAATGACTAAGCCACACAGTCCTTGGCCTCGGGGTAATATGTATTTTTGTTTTACTGAGCCTACTGAATTATGACAGACATGATTTAATTTCCCATTTTCCCTGAATTGATCTTGTTTTGATCTCTCTCGACAGGATTTTCAGTTTAGAGCCCTGAAGAAGGTGAGGATCTTTGACTCCCCGGAGGAGTTGCCCAAGGAACGCTCAAGTCTGCTTGCCGTGTCCAACAAGTATGGCCTGGTTTTTGCTGGTGGATCCAGTGGGTTGCAGATTTTTCCTACTAAAAATCTTCTTATTCAAAATAAACCTGGAGACGATCCCAATAAAATAGGTAAGTCCCTGCTTTGTGTTGTGTTGCAGAGAGAGGAGTGTAGTGAAGAGCTAATGTAGTTTCCTTCCCAAGAATTCATTGTAATGTTAGAATGAAAACGGCTGTCACTCCTCAGGTAGACCCTCAGGAGTAAATTCTAGGTCAGATGTTGGAAGCCATTCTGGTTCTCTTTGGTCCTCTGTGTTTCCCTCTTGATGAGTTGTTCCTCTGAGCTCAGAGTAGAGAATTTACCATTCTGCCATGCAGTTATTTTTGCTCAGCTGAACCTGGCTTCTGGCTCTCTTGGAGAAGGGTTTTGCTGCATGGCTTTTTAGTTGGCACAACGGTTCCTTCCAAACACATGGGGATGTGTACTATTTGAAGCATTGTTGCAAAACTATGGGTGCAGGTTGGCAATATTGTGATTTATAAGAAATATATATTTTGTCTTCCTCCCCCATTTCTGGCTCACAGGTCCCACAACTCTTGGAATTTCCTAAGTGTTGGGGGATAAGCAGTTCTGGTATGTTAATGATGTAATTTTGGAAAGCACCTAAGGATTGGGGTTGGTTGCCAATGGAACCAACCTTGTGATTAGAGGGTTGGAACTTCCAGTCCCCCCCCAGTTGAATTAATCAGCAATAGCCAGTGATTTGCTCAGTCTTGCCTGTGTAATGAAGGCCTCATAAAAACCCAGGGGGATGGTTTGGAGAGTTTATGAGTTGGTGAACATGTGGAGGTGCAGGGAGAGTTGCAAGCCTGGGTAGGGTATGGAAACTTGGTGCCCCTTCCCTCAGACCATGCATGATGTAGCTCTTCCATCTCCCTGTTCCTGAGTTATATCCTTTTATAATAGACCACTGGTCTAGTCAGTAACATACAGTATATCTGAGTGCTTGAACGGTTCAAGCAAATTAATTGAACCCAAGAAAGGGGTTTTAGGAACCTCTGATTTATAGCTAGTTGGTCAGAAATGCAGGTAACAACCTGGACTTGCAGTTGGCATTTTGAGTTGGAGGGGTTGTTGAAACCTTGAGCCTATAGCCATTTGGTCAGAGACACAGGGCTGGCATCTAGGCTTGGGGGGGGGGG